TCGCCCGAAGTTCTCGCCGAAGTGATGAAAAATGCCATAAAACGAGCCCGTATAGCAATCAATTGTGGCGGCGCCCATTTGGCCGATATCATCTTGTCGACTTGACCAATAAAATTCTAAAGGTTCAAATAAACATAATCAAAAAACAGAATCGAAGTTTTTCATTTAGAAAAAAAATGAGAGCCAAACAACATCGGATGACTTCTTTTGGCCCACCTTGTATTTCAAGCTTACACTGCAACCCATTAAGAATCAGAACACTCCTGAAAATTTTCTCAAACTTCAATTGGGGGCATAGAGCTTAACAATGAAGACACACAAACACACCATACCCTCACTTAACATAAATAACTTAATCTACGACTGCACAGAATAAAACCCCAGAAGCGAAGGCAAAGGTTACCGCCAAATCTCAAATCTAGTGCGCATGTCTTGCGCCGCCATTTTACAAGTTGTTTATTAATCAACCTCACTTTCCTTTCTTGTTTGTGTATGGTTTGGCGTTGCGTGTTTTGTAAAGTGGTTTGGTAGTGTTCTGCATTTTCAAAGACATTTTAGTGTTTAAAATTATTAAACTTGGTGTTATAGAAGAAGGTAATATTATTCAATCTTGTATCACATGTGTGCGTGTTCATTAATAAATTTTTTCAACTAATTCTAGGTTTTGCCCTTTAAATAGGATGGCTACAAAAGGAGTATAAGCATGTATTTGTCGTGGTTGCTTTTCTAAAACGGGGCAAGGAATAAGCTAATTTACCCTGCCAAAGGATCGCAGTAAGTACGTACATATATATTGTTTATGTTCATCAGAAAAAATTACATATTTTGTTACATTTTAGTGCGGAAATTTGGTTAAAAGCCTGCAATCGAACAGATCTGCTTACCAAAAATTTGCAGAATTATAGACTCGATTGCATTTCGATGAAAAGTATATTTCAAAAGAAGGAACACAAAAAACTTTGTTGGCTCAAGCACTACCCACAATTTTTCTGAGTTCAAAGCGATCTATTGCAGAAGAAAATAAATTAGAGGAAATGCCTTCTAAAAATTGTTTATTCGATTAAAAATATTTTATAGGATGAAATACACAAATAGGGATATCACATCAAATAAAAAATATAAAAACCGTAAATTTACCATTTTGTCGCATTTGTGATACTTAAGTTTTTTGGTTTATGTGTAAATTATTGTATAAATATATATATTTCATGAACTATATTTGTATTTTATTTTAGTTATCCTCCTGCTTATCCTGTTAAGAATTGAAAAATAAATTGCTTTCATTCATTTTAAAATTTATGATCAGCTTACGTTTTAACGAAAATTGTTTCGACAATTCAAACAATTAAAGTATGCTGACTTTACTATTTATAACAATCATTGCCTTATGAAATTTTTGCAATGCACAAATAATTAGACAAACATTTAAATGAAATATTGTCACAAAGAGTTTCATTTATCTTTTGCTTCTTAACAGTTGATAAATCGACTCCTGAATCTGCAAACAACGACGCAGATGATCTATGAAAACAATGTCCAGTATATTGTTAAGGATTTGGAAGACCCATGAACAATGCGATATTACATGGCATTTTCCCAAAAATATTAATGCCAACTGGCTGCTTGATGCATTTTCCATTTCTGTACCCCACAAAAATTCGAGTATGATCTGTGTTGCTTGGCCACATCGATATAAAGGGTGAATCACAAATGGTGAACAAAAAATGAAACCTCATATTCTTTGGTGAATATGAGGTTTTATTTTGGTCACCATTTGTAAATCACCCTGTATATCTTCGAACCATTTCCACCATTTTTATTCCTTCAATGTTTCCGTTTGTGATAAAAAATCTTGTGATATCTTTGTTTTCGTAAACGGAATAATAATATGAATGCATTGTTCTTCATCTTTAACATTTTGTAGGTGCAGATTTCTCAATTCAGTACACCTGCAAGCCCCACTAACAATGCAACTTTTATCATAAAATGAGTTCTATCGTCTGCTTCCAGCAAAAATTGATTTGTTTTCCTTTGTTAAAATCTTAGATTTTTTGTCCGAAATCCTACCGATTTTCTTTTTAGAATTAAATGGACGTTACTAATATCCTTATTTTTCTTCATTGATATACTCGTAAATGAACTTAGCATTGAATAATATACCCAAAGCGACGAAGGCTTGCTACGTTTTGAAAGATATTCGAAATATGCCAGAAGAACTTTTTCATTGATGCTATTCTTGATTCCTTTGTCTTTACGCTAATCTTGCAAGTTTTTCATAACTGTGCCCGTACGTCTATTTTGATTTTTCGGGAAGTAGGGTATTAAAAATGCTTTGCACAATGTCTTCGATATCCAGAGGGACACTCTCGGAATCAGAATATTAATATTCTTTTTCAACAAAACTGAACGTATGACACAAAATTGGACGCCAATAATGAAGTTATCAAAGTCAAATTTAAAACAATCAATAACTGTGGTTACCATAACATCGTCAAATAAGAGCACCTAATAACTGAATTTCAGTTTATGGCAACATTTCTGATATTTTAAGATAAATCGAATCTGCAAATAAAATCTATTTGGACCATCGTAGATTAAATTTTGATTGATACACGTTTGATATGAACTTTGTTAACGAAATTTGTGTAAATAAATCACTCAGCTAACACCTCGTTTAATGTTACACATGTTTCATTATAGTGTTCATATCGAACTAGTATCATTAATAACTATTATAAGGTTCAGAAGTGTCTAGTGAAACTTGATAGTTCACACCGAAAGTCCTGAATTACCCACCGTATTACAAACTTGTAAACCAATAAATTGAAAACTTAAATAAATGTGACAATGAAGTGGTGATATACAGTGTATCCACGGATTGATTGCATGTGGGGTGTAAATGACAAAAATTTTTCGAGTTGAAAAAATTAGTCCAATGTACAGGGTGCTTTTACGATGAATTTTCAGAAATTGTCAAGAGTAAAGTACCTTTGTTTTTAAAAATATCAAAAATATTTACTTAAGAAAGTTATTAACAACTAATAGATATGACAGAATGTCAATTTTCAATTTGGTCAATTTTTTTTTTATTTACTTTCAACAAGACGGACACGGATTGGGCGAAATAGCCCAATTCCTTGACCTTCTAAAAATCCTGATTTAAATCTAATGGATTTTTATTTATGAGGCTATCTCAAGCAGAAAGTCTATGGGCCCCCTGTTGAGTAATGATTTATTTGAAGTGAAACAAAGAATAAACGATACAATCAATGCCATCCCCCTTCAAGAAATCCAAAATGCCTACACAGAATTTACCAAGTGCGCTGAGCAATGTATTGGTGGCGAAACTTTTGAATAATCATTATATTATTTGTTTATTTATATGTATTATATTACATTGTTACGTTTTTTTCTCTAATAAATAATAGGAATTTGTACTTTGTGGTTGTGAAAAATAGAAAACAACAAAGTTGGCCGATCGAATTGAAAATTGACATTCTAACTTTTAGGTCTCAATAACTTTCTTAAGTAAATATTTTTGATATTTTTAAAAACAAATGTACTTTACTCTTGACAATTTTTGAAAATTTATCGTAAAAACACCCTGTACATTAAATAATTAGACAAATTTTTTCAACTTCCTAGTTTAAGGTCAAGCAGAGATGATGCTCAGAAGCTCAAATCTCAACTCCAAAAATTTTTGTCATTTACACCCCACGTGCACTCAATCCGTGGACACACCTTATATGTGTATTCTCTATTCTCGTTTCTCTGCAATGATATGAACCGTTTATTTTTTTATCTGCCTAGCGCCCTTTTGTCATATAACATCAGGTGGATTAATATGTAGTTCACCTAATCTATGTCATAGGTCATTAACACTGAGATTCACTAACTAGAAACAGTGCTTTTAAAAAAATAGTAACAAAGACTTGAAATGATTTTTAAAAATATTTCAACTCACATTAGTAAATATCTTTATTTACTTTTCATTATGTAGATTTTAGCAAAAACAATTTCAATATTGGTGCCTGTCTATATTGACAAAAAATAATATGTAGTTGAGTTGATAAAGTAACATGCCACAAAGTTATACAAAAACAATCTGTTTTTACAAAATTGTTTTCCATTACAGTTTTGCTTTTTGCCACTCTTTGAATTTTGTTGGGTTGATTTAAAAAGATTATTTCAAATTATTTTTTACCAAGTACATATATATTGTCAGTAGATGGCTAATTTTTCATCTCGGTATTTTCAAAGCCTCCTAAATTTTTAGACAGAAAAAAAAATAATAAATTTAAAAGTCCATGTAAAAAATGTTATGCATTATAAATTGATTAAATTTGAAATACTGTGATTTTAAGTGTAACTAATAATGGGTACGTAGTTAAATTTTGATAAAAAATGTCCCTGACGTGATTTTCTGATAAGTCTAAAGAAATCCCAGGATCATATTAATTGTTCAATAAATATATTCAGAAAGCATTTTTTTTATAAAATTCGTTTGAGTCGTGCGTCGCAAGAAATATGAGAGAGGTAGGACACCTAATGAAATACGCTATAAATAAATTTAATGTCAGTTTTATGTTAAATATTTTTCCTAAAAGTATTCATATTTTTCTTAAAGGCAGTTTTAAAAATAACTAAGAATATTCCTGGTATCACTTAATTATTTCTCTCCTTCCAACACAACTTATTCAAAATTTATTGTCGATAAATTGCTTCCAGGAAATGAAAATGACTAAAAATTTCTCCTAGATAAGACGTCTAACTTTCAACTTAATTTAGATAATATTAGCATTAATGGCATTTACGTACTAAGATATTAATATTCAAATTAACCAGTAAACCACGAATGTAAACATTATTTACGTACATGCTAAACATAAATTAAATCCATTGAGAGGAAAAGATATAAAAGAATGTAAATTCAGCATAATGTGCAGCCTGCTGCTGTCACTGTAAAACCAGTTTGTGTTGTATCACGTTTATGATAATCTATAAATACGTGATTAAAATTCATGTGGCATCTTAACAAGTATTGTTTTCAGTTTTATGTATTACCTCTACACATTATGACAGTAAAATACATCTTTGTAATTATTTGTAAGTAATCCTTATTATTTAAAGTATTTCTAATTGTCTCAGTGGTTTTAGTGTGTTTCTCTGAGAAAACTGTACACAGTTCAGGTGAGTAAAAGTGCAAGAAAACAGGAACTTATAATTTTTTTTCTCAATATTTTAGAATGTGGTGTTTTAAAGAACGCAAATAACCCTCCTTGGAACATAGGGATATATAAAGGAATAAAGAATAATAATTTGGAAATAGTTTGTCTTGGGACTGCCATTAAATCAAACCTCATTGTGACAGGTGCCGTTTCATTTTGTTGATAAACAGACCAGCTTAATTTTATAATTTTTGTTTTTCCTCTTTAGCCGCACATTGCTTATGTGATCAATCTGGAAAGCTCAGAAATGAGGAATTTTATGTATCCTCAAAAAAACTTGACAAAAATATTAAAGACAACAGAAATTTGCAAAAGGTAAGTAACTAAGATAATTTGTTTGCAATTTTAAAACAATCTTTTAATTAAAAGAAAAATTTAACAATATATTTTCTGTACATTTTTTTGTCAAATTAATACAATTATAGAAATTAGCACACTCTAAAGAGAACGCTTGCTAATCGGTTTTATAATAATATTTATTTTTGTAACTAGTGACAGTAGTGACTAGTGAAAATTAAAGTGGTGATATTTTGGTAGGGGTAGGGTTAGAGGGTAGGTAGGTATGGGACTTTCTCCATTCTTAGGGTGAAAAAATTTCAAAGAAATTGACAATAAAAATTAAATAGGGGTTGCCCACACTGAGATTTTGAAAAGAGTATTTATAGATACAATCAGGAGTTGTTTTTTTCTATTTTTTACAAACTGTAATTTTCTTTATAATTATACTTGTTTAATTTTTAATCTGACAACATTCAATTTTTTAAACTTCAGGCAGTAGCTTTAATAAAAACAAAAATTTTGTGAAAAATAAAAATATATCTAGAAAGTTCTTTATGTAGGTCTAAAAATCATCCCCTAAAAATGTGTGCCACGCTTTGTTATCAAAATATGACCACTTCCATTTTCACCATCTAAAACCATTTTTAATAGTTTTAGAAATAATTTTTAATTTTAAAAACTTATAAGAAAGTGCATATTTGGAAACTATATTTTGTAAAATATTGCAAATCCTGACTGATAAGATTTTGTTAGATGTCAAGTTATTTAAAATTGTATTAGCAATTTTTTTTTATCTGATATTTCAAAATACTACAATCACCAATGATTATTGCCAGTGTTCATTGCTGTCTCAAAAACCAAACCTTAAGATATTTTTATCTTATTAAATCAAATCGTTATCAATAAATAAGTGTCTATGAAACATCCCCATTGATTATTCAAATGTATATTTGACCTAAATATATCCTTTTTCCTAATTTTGACAAGTATTCTTATAATGAGAATCCATCAAAAAAACAAAAATAATTAAAGCTTCAAATGTAGTACGGTTATACAGGGTGATTCAGAACTTATCAAAAACAAAAAAAATGTGGATGTCGGAGTATTCTTACAAATACAATTTTGTAAAGAAAAAATCAAAAAGGGCAGTTCGAAAATGATTTAAAAATATACTTCTGACCCTGCATAATGTGACTGACATGGCGGCAAAGTGTGATAAAAACGGACAAACACTTTCGCAAGGAAAGAAATAAATAGAATTTTATAGCACCTATTTTATACCACCAAATTCAACTGCTTTTGCTGTTATTCTTATTATTAATTCATAAAATTAATTTGTGGTTTTAAATAACAAAATAATTTGATATACCTGATTCTATCCACCGACATGTAAACACATTTGGGTCCGTCTTACTCAGTTTCTACGAATTAACACAAATGTTGTCTTGCTTCATCATTAATTAAAACGATATCCATCAACTATGAGTTGCCATACACGCAAGCCATTTTTGACACTAACTACTAAAAAGCTATTGTAAACCCCACAGATAACAGGTAAACACTAACACAACAATGATTGTAAATCGGATTTCAGTATTCGGAGTCGCGGAGGTCAAGCGTGGCTCTCCACACGTAGAGGCTGTAGTTGTCCAGCTATGTAATGGTTACTACAACTTCAATAATTTTTTTCTTGGAACTATAAGGATTTTACAAAATTTTTTTGAAGATATTGACTCCATCTCTCATGCCGCATCTATTCCCAAATTTTTTTAGATAAGTTGTGAATCACCCTGTATTATATTTCAATTTTTTATCTTGTATACATTTAAAGGTGGAAAAAAACAATGTATTTCTTCATCGTGCATTCAAAGGTGATGTAAAGCATGGAGACATAGCTGTTGTGAAGTTGCAAATGAACTTAAAAAATGATGAATCTATACCCATTTGCATCGACTGGGAAAATACTACGCCGTTGTTACATGTGAGTTATTTTTCATATATTTCTAAAATGTTCATTATTAGCTGTAATACTGAAAATTTAACTTAACTATTGATGGTTCTGATGGAACTATTGGTGGAACTTGCAAATTGAAAATATTTTTCCTTATACAGACTGTTACAAATTCGCTTCTCACTACAGGGATCTCGGAAACAGTAAGAGATACGAAGTAGCTTAAATAGAGGCAAAGTTGCGTAATCCGAGGACCAACATTGTGCCTCTAAAAAACCAAGGCAAACATAATTAGTTCTCGAAATTTTTGAAAAAAAAAACGAAATTTTGGAAATCCGTTTTTGTTTCATTTCATTGTCAGCCTGATATTGAAAAAAGAAGAACACTTTCCCATGGCAACTTTTTACCCTCTATCAAATGGCATAATCAAGTTTTATATGTAACATTTCGTCTCTCCAGGACCCTCATCAAATTCATTTTTTTAAATACGACCCTGAAAATTTTATTACATTTTTTGCAAGCCTTCAAGACCTCCAATACTGTACTGCCTCAGCCCGAATTAGATTCAGATGTTTTGTCTCGAACAATTCATCTTCAATGTATGTGTTCTAAAATTATGTATTTTTTTTTTAATTTCTATGTTTCTTGAATTATCAGACACTCTCAGTGTCGTTATACCTTGTGAAATCAACCTAGTTATTTAAACTATTACCATCACATGTTACAATAAAACATTATTAAAGTTTTAATCCCGTGTGCATACCTATTTCTAGGTTTCTCAAGTGCTCAAAATTTAAATAAATTTCTATCTAATTTTTTTCAGGATATTCATACAAATACATCTGTTTTTGAACATTTACTGTAATTTTTTAAAGTATATATAATATTCATTTGGAATTTTGGCTGTTCTTATGCGTTATTAAGAATTAATTTGTCATAATGAATTTAAAATTGTAATACATTTATGTTTAAATTTTGACACAACAACTTATAGAATTATGTATGACCAGATGATTGATCTATTAATGTTTTATTGTAATGTGTGATGGTAATAGTTTAAATATCTAGGTGGATTTAACAGGGTCTAATGACGGTACGATAATTCAATAAACATAGAAATCTAAATAAAAAAATATTGATAAATTTGAAACAAAATACATTGAAGATGAATTTTTCGAGACAAAACGTCTGAATCTGGTTCGGGTAGTTTGCAAAATATGTAATAATATTTCCAGGTTCGTATTTAAAAAAATGAAGTTGATGATGGTCCTGGAAAGACGAACCTTTACATATAAAAACTGATTATACCATTCGATAGAGGGCAAAGAGTTGCCATGAGACAGTGTTCTTATTTTTTCAATATCACCTCAAACAAGGCTGAAATGAAACAAAAATGGACTCCCAAAATTTCATTTTTTTCAAATATTTATAATTATGTTAGCTTTGATTTTTAAGGGGCACAATATTGGTCCCCTGATTATGCAACTTTGCCCCTATTTAAGCTACTTCGTATCTCTTAATGTTTCCGAGTTCTCTGTAGTGAGAAACGAATTTGTAACAGCCTGTGTAGTCAACAACATAATCAAGTTTGAAAAATTTATATAGTTTGAAAATTTTAGTATCTGTCGGTTGATTCTGAAAAAAATATTTAGTACATATGCACTACTGGAAAAAATTACAGGAACAAATAATTTTCATGAATTTTTTAGTGATTTTTGAAAGGCTGTATCTCATGGAAATTGGTCGTATCGAGATAACAAAATAATAATTTTGAAGCTTTCAGTCTAGTTTCAAGATCTTTAGACAAAAAATTTTTTAAGCTACAGTTATCGAGGAATCAAGAAATTCCTTGAGTAAAAAATATTTTCCAAACAAATTTTTTTTTATATATGCATAGACTCAGGAAAATTTTTTCAAACTCAGTCAATACAGAGATCTGTTAGCTTATTCAGCTTCAATTTGATTTTTGCAAGATCTCCATATTGGTTGCCAAGATATTGATGGTGGAAGGAAAATCATCGATATCACAGCAACAAATTATTGCACAATATATTCAAGGGCAGTTTTGAAAACTTGAATAAATTCTCTACAAGGACCTGTAATGATTTTCGAGAAAAAAAAATTTTTTGTCCTTGGCATCAATTTGACAAAAAGTTAAAAAAAATACTTTACAGTTTTTTAGAAAGTCTACCGCTAATTTACAAATATTTTGGAAAGAATTAAAGGAATATATTTATTGCTTCTAAAAACATTTTATCATTATCAAATTAAAAAGATGAATTTTTCTCGACTTTTCCCACAATTTTGCATTATAGTTAAATTTTAGAAAAAGTCAGTAAATTTAAAATAAAAATTTTTCAATGATTTTTTGATTTAGTTTTCCTTTAGAAAACTTGATATTTTCTGCAAAAGTAGTTTGTTTCAAAACCACTTTTTTTGGCAAAAAGAATTGAATCAAAAATTTATTTCAAAACATCTTTCTGCAGCAAAAAAAAATTAATCAAAAGTTTTGTAAACTTAATATTTTTTTATCATGGTCAGACAGTTTGGATTTGAGCTGGAAGTCACTCGTTTAGTAACACTTGTTGCAACTTGCAACCTCTACATTCATAAACTTTGTGTAACATAAATGCCGGCGGTTAAAAAACAAGGATTAAAATCGTGTCAGAAGCGACTAGAACTTTTTCAAATGTCCAACAAGTTTTCTAATAAAAAATGAAAAAAAATTTTGAAAAATAATTCAGTTTTTATAATTTGTTTCCTTAAATTTAAACTATACCTAATGCAAAATTGTGGAAAAGTCAAGAAAAATTCTCCTTTTTTATTTAGATAATATTTTATGTTTTCATAATGTTTAGGAGCAATAAACATGTTCCGTTAGTTCTTACCAAAACTTTGTACATTTGGAACATGAAAATTTTTTGTTCTTTAATTTTTTCCAGTGGTGTATGTACAACTCTTTTTGACATTTCGTTTTTGTTCGAAATTTTTTCTTCGGAAAGTTCTTTATATGAACAAAGCTTTCAAATGTAATATGGGATCCGTACTTCATTTTCAAATCATGACCATTTTAATGTTCACCCACCGCCACTGCTTGAAATACAATAAAATTGTTAGAAAATTAAATACATACATATTCAAATAATTTTTTAGGATGGGGAAAAATTTAGACATTCATCTTGGCAGAATGGCAATCTTAAAATGATCGATGTCTCCTATGTAGATTATGAAAATTGTCCAAATTTGGCATCAACTTCTTTTAGAAAATTCCTTACAAGTGATAAATTGTGTGCCAAGTCTGTTAAGGGTGAGTATGGTGTGTTTGTACTATTTGTACTTTTTAGTTAGTTTTGACATTTATTCCTTTTTTAATAAAATTTTATGATGAATAATAACAGTATCTGTCCAACAATAATTAAGAATTAATTACATTTAATCCCCACTAATCGAGTTTTTTTCTCATTTTAGGCTTAACAGCAGGTGATTTAGATGAAGGATCCGGCTTGGTATATTTCAATTTCAATGATAGTTTATGGTACATAAGAGGTGTGGTTTGCGGACATGACCCAGAAAGAACTGATTTAATAACATATTCTGATGCTGTACTTTATCTGAATTGGTTATCAGATATTTCGTCAAGGCTGTAATTATTTGTGAAATTATATTTATGTAATAAATGTTAATTATAATAATTCTTAGTTTCCATTCTCAAGTGTTGAGCAGACATTTTCAAATGTCCAATTTGCACAAAAAAATAAACCTGTATTTCCCGGAAAACTAAATTTTGCTGACATCTGTCAATTTTTGCCTAAAAATCAAAATATCTTGGAAATGGTCAATCATAAGTATGGAGTCTGCTACGTTTTGAACTTAAAAATAAATGCTCTTTCCAAAAATGCAATAATATCATATAACATTTAAAATAAGAAAGTTGGTATCGACTTCCGGTATAAGCGGAAGTACGATGACCTTGAAAGTATTTTAGCTTGGTTGGACCCACGAACTGTATCACACCACCAGAATTTGAAAAAATTCCTTTGAGCAGTTTGCCAGATGTCTATCGATGGAGTTCGAGGTAAGACACCCTATAAACAGTGTAAAACAAGATTTAGACATTTTAGAAGAGATATAAAAATTGTATGTACTTATATTGTTTATATTGCAATTACTTTAAAAAGTAGTGATATTTGTATATCTCAAAGAATAATCAATTTGAATATTAATTATTTCGAAAATAAATTTGGAAATCATTAGACCGTGCATACAAAATTCGAATTACATTACTCAAATATTTGATATACACCAACCAGTTTAACAATAGCGCGTATAATTGGTTGCCTAACGGATGCATAAAAATAATTGTTTCTATATTTAATTTAACAAATGATTAAATAATTAGATACATGAAACATAAATTACTATTTTGAGAAAAAATTAGACTTTAATGAACAACATTTCAAATTACATTACCTTAGTATTTGTATATGCCGCCATCAATTTAACATTAATGTGTAAAATTGTTGATAACAAATTAATTAATTACTCTTGTGTCAAAAACAGATAAGATCATTTTAATCATTTTTAAATTTTTAATGAAAGGTATATGAAATTTTATCGGGATGAGGTAGATAACCTGTTTTACAGTAAGATACACGATAAAAGATACAGAAAAATCTTCCATATCTTTTAGCATATTATATGTGAGTAATTGTTATATTTAAAATGTAATAACATATTTGTACATCAGAGGCATTTGTACAGTTGATGTCTAAAACAAAGGTTATGCAGTTAAGAAAACTGAGACGTTTTTAAACAGAAAAATTTTAATCTTTGTTAATGTATTCTGTTTCCACATTAACTTCAATATCGCGATGGACATGTTGCAAAAAAAATTTTCTGATCTTTGGGGGAGATGATCGCGAGTTATAAATATAAAACGTAAGTTCCTAAACCCACCTAGCCTACGCATAACATGTTACTGATAGAAAGTTATACAGGGTTAGTCAAAAGTATGGAAACGGTTTGGCGACCCTCCTTTTCGACCCCGGAAATGGAAAGAGCGGAAAATTCTGCATCCGAATATGACATTGACCGTGACCTCAAGGTCAATGGTCAAGGTCAGTTCAAGGCCAAATGCTGATTTGCTGTTAATTTTTTTTTACTACGGAATCAGAGGGAGTGATGGTACTCCTTAGTGATCTTGATGATTACGCTCCTCGATGACAACAACGAACTCTTGGTCATTATAGACGAATCTCGTCTCTTCTGCAATCCCGATCCCCCATCATCCCCACCACTGAAACTTCTTCAGCGTGACCTTGGAGGACATCATCGCAATAATTACTGGAGCTCCGGATAGCGTGACCTTAAAGTGCGTTGGTTATCTCCTCAAATAATTATTATCATCATAGACATTAAGATTTTCGAAACATCAATGATCTCTATNTTTTATCGCATTTCCTTTTGAATGTACAAACAATTCTCGGCGGGTACATATATTTTTGTCACATTAACATAAATCACCCTTGTATATCACTCCACCAAATATGGTCGTGGCGTCCAAATTAAGCCTTTTAACTTTTAAAGGATAAGCTAAAACAATACTGTATAAATTATTTCAGACTTGGATGATGTCGACATTACTCTCTACGTAAATCCCATAATCTCTTTATTTCTTTAGTTTAATTGCTATCGCATGTGTGTACATTTAACAATAATTCTTGTACCTCTAGATTTTCTCCAACGTAATATATTTTTTCTTTGATAATACGTACTGATTTCAATTATAATAATAATAATAATAATAATAATAGTTTATTTTAACTACAAGTACTAATACAATTACAATTTACAATACATTGTAGGCAAAGCATCTAAATAAACGAGAAAGATTACAATTTTCCATTAAAACCAAAACATGGTTGTGCATGGACAGTATGGCTATAATCATATTGATGACGCTCATATTTTTAAAAAATAAAGCGAAACAACAGTAATCTCAAATTAATATCAAAAAACATGCAAACTTAGAAAAAGAGTAACTAAACTTAAAAAAGAAAAATTATATATTGAATGGACTACGTGTACAGAGTGTCAGAAAAGAAGGCTATTTAATTAAGAATTTCAATTAGATTTCTAGTTTCTGTTCTACCTAATGTAATTATATATTTTTTAAAAATCTTTTTTATCATGTTTAATGAGTATATTTTTTCTAAATAAATTTTATACATTTGTGGCAAACTATTAAATATTTTTTGTGAAAGGTGAGTATGACAGCGTAGACTAATATTTCTTTGTGAAAGGTCAATTTTTGCATTATTGTTTTCTTTATATCTTGTACAATAACAATGACTGACTTTTTCAAACGTTTTGTTCTTATAGATAAAGAGAATAATCTGGTGCATGTACAATTGTCTAATATCGAGTATTCTAGTTTCTAGGAATAGTGTCTCAGATGGGTAAATTAGCTTTTTATTATAAATTATCTTTATTATGCGTTTTTGTAGTATATCAACTTGCCTAAGGTGACAATATGCACCACTACCCCAGCTCAGTATTGCATATTGTAGTCTTGATTGGACTAATGCATAATATAATATTTTTAAGTGTGATAAATCTAAAATATTTTTTAGGTATTTAAAACGATACAAAAGTTGCCTTAGTACTTTGGTTATGTTACTTGCATGAACATTCCATCGTAAATGAGAATCAATAGTGACTCCCAAGTATTTAAAATCACTTTTAGAATTTAATATTATATTATCTTTCAGTAACAAAGAGTGATATTTAGGTACATTTTATATTATTGGAAAATGGCATAAAAAATGTTTTTTCATAGTTTACCGTTAACAATTTGTGGCTAAACCAATTACAAATCATTGAGAGGTCTATTTCAGTTTTATTTTTTAAAATTTCCCATGTTTCGTCATTATATAAAATAACAGTGTCATCTGCATAACTAAATATTTGGCCGGATGTAAAAGAAGTAAGGATATTGTTAATATATAATGTAAACAAAATTGGTCCCAGCACAGTCCCTTGGGGTAGGCCAAAATTAACAATTTTTTCTGTACTATGCATATTATTAATTTTTACAACTTGTCGTCTGTTTGACAAGTAATCTCTAAATAGTTCATTTGGCATACCCCGTATTCCTGCGTTCTCCAGGACTTCAAGCATCTGAGTGTGACTAACAGTGTCGAAAGCTTTAGCAAGATCTAAGAATACGCATAATGTTGGCTTACTTTTTTCTAAACACTTTGTAATTTCTTCTACTAATTTTGTAATAGCATCATTAGTTGATACACCCTCTCTAAATCCAAACTGTTTCTCTGAGATAATGTTGTTTTCATCAAAAAATTTTACAATTCGCATTTTTAAAGCTTTTTCGAATATTTTCGCTAACGTTGATATAACTGAGATTGGCCTATAATTATTTACACACTTTGCATTACCCTTTTTATATATAGGAGTAACAACTGCTATTTTAAATTGTTGTGGAACTTTACTGGTTATAAAGATTCTATTTATAATATGACATATTGGCTTTGATAAAATTTCAGATGTTTCCTTGTAAACTTCTGTATTTATATTATCAATACCTGGTGATATTTTATTTTTTAATGAATCGATAATTGTTATTATTTCCTTTTGATGTACAGGAGGCAGAAAAAAAGAATTCTGATTTATTTCAGTGCGCGGTGGGGGTGTATGAGGTTTTTTAATATTGTTGGCAAAAGACTCCAACACTAGTAAAAAAATTATTAAATTCTTCTGCAATACTATCAGGAGTATCACAGATGACATTATTATTAGTTAATAACACTTTGGGTTCTTTACGGTTTTCAAGACTGGAAATGTTTTTTACTACTTTCCATAAGTTTTTACGCATATTTCTGTTGATATTTATAAGTTTATTATAATAATCGCGTTTTGCATTCTTAATCAGTTTATTTAAAAGTTTTCTGTACTCAATATATCTATCTTTTTTTTGCTCATTTGCCGGTTCTCTTTTAAATTCTTGATATAATCTATTTTTTTCATTAACTGAGTTTACTATTCCTTGTGTGATCCAGTGTTTACGTTTTATGTTAAATTTTTTTAAATGTTTTGTGCTTGTATGTTTTTCAATTAAAGATTTTAATAAAGAAATAAATTCCTCTGTCAAGGTGTTAGCATCTGTTTCATTATAAAAACTAGTCCAGTTGTAACTCTTCAAATCCATTTTTAACTTTTTATAGTTTATATAACAAATATCTCTGACTGAATTAATATTGGACTGATTATTTATTTCTTTTCTATTATCTATCTCTATATCTCAAAGCATTTTATAGAAAAATAGATAATTTCTTATTGTTTCTATTAATTTTGACAGTTCGCATTTGAAATAGTAACTTGGGTCTGCATATGTTTAAAAATTAAAGGTTTATGTTACAAACTGCAACTGCAAGGTGTAAGTGTTTTAAATACTCATTATAATCTCATAACAATGCAAATTTTACGAATTTTGAAATGGGTCATCCCAGCTTTAATTTTTAACAGGTAATGGCGAATAAACTGTCAAAATCACGACCATTTGGCATGTCCAATGATGTAAGCCCTACAGCGTAACCTATATTCCAAATTTCAGCTAAATATCTCAAAAACTGTAGGAGCTATAGAGCAAAAACTACAAAAAATCTTAAAATTTCAACACCCTGTAGATCGGTAACGAAGCGTTTGCGGACCTATTTTTATATGAACTTTTAGTCATGAAATAAGCCAAAGCGAATTACCCCCTCGCTTATGTACATGATATTTAGGAACACCCGCCTCTATTATTTTTGATATTTCTTCGTTAATTTTCGTTACAACCTGTATATCCACTTTATGAAAATATTGATAATTGAATACACAAACTTGGGTAATGTCCTTAAGGAGGTTTGATACCAAAAAAAAAAAAATTAAGAAAGTTTTCAAAATCATTGAAATCTGTTAATAAATATGCCAACTGCCTCGTGTAAAAATATCAGATCAATAGCCAATACAGTTTTTTTGAAAAATGATATTAAAAATTATGCTCTTATACACAGGCTCTTATGGGAGTTGGGAAAAAACTTTAATCAAACGTGAATATTGCTCTTAAAAATGGTTAGGATCGGGAAAATAAAATTGTAATTAAAGAATTAAATATTACTAAACATTTTAAAACAATAAAAATATGCACTTACAATGTAATTATTGAGATAATGGAATAAATATATAACGTTTTGACAAATTCGAACAAACATCTGATCCAATGAAAGAAAATATGGCAACACTGTACGCTGTATTTAACCCTTTGACTGATGCGCTATTTTTGAATAACTCTATTACAGACTATAAAATTATTCCAGTCGAAAACATATGTAGTAATAATTAATATTAAATAAATTTTTCGTGATCTAATGCAATATAATAGCAATTTGAAACAAACATTGCCGTAGTGGTAAAAGTTGGGTAAACTGTCATTACTGTCAACTGTGCTTTGCGCATATTCCGTAAACTTGATGAACATCCAAGATACAAAGGAAAAACAATATAAAATGCGTATGAAACATAATATGGATTGATGAGAAAAAGTAAAATGTGCAAACCGAGAATCTATATGATAACTATCAAGAAGCTCAGTGTATCATAGTGAGACGTCGCCTTGTCAAATTGAAGATTATGACAGAACACCTATACTGTTCGTTTTGCAAAGAGATCCTTTCAATGTTTGTTTCAAATTGCTATTATATTGCATTAGATCACGAAAAATTTATTTAATATTAATTATTACTACATATATTTTCGACTGGAATAATTTTATAGTCTGTAATAGAGTTATTAAAAAATAGCGCGTCAGTCAAAGGGTTAAATACAGCGTACAGTGTTGCCATATTTTCTTTCATTGGATCAGATGTTTGTTCGAATTTGTCAAAACGTTATATATTTATTCCATTATCTCAATAATTACATTGTAAGTGCATATTTTTATTGTTTTAAAATGTTTAGTAATATTTAATTCTTTGATTACAATTTTATTTTCCCCATCCTAACCATTTTTAAGAGCAATATTCACGTTTGATTAAAGTTTTTTCCCAACTCCTATAAGAGCCTGTGTATAAGAGCATAAATTTTAATATCATTTTTCAAAAAAACTATATTGGCAATCGATCTGCAATTTTTACACGAGGCAGTTGGCATATTAACAGATTTCAATGATTTTGAAAACTTTCTTACCATTTTTTTTTGGTATCAAACCTCCTTAAGTTTATCGAATCATTTCAAATTTAAAAAAAATATAAAAGAACTTTAAGACATGATTACAAATTATCTGATAAGGGTAACTCAAGTTGTATTTCATTACTGATAGGTACATTGAACTTCAATCAAATTTGTTGCTAACAAGGGGACCATTTAGATCACGAAATTATTTAAACATGCTAAGAAATCAGAAAAAATACATATTAGGTACTTTAGAAATTTTGATAAGTGCGTTTAATTAGTAATTATGCCTAAGAAAATAGATTTACAATAATTTAACGACATAGAGAAATCGAGAACAGCTCTAAAACCACTGTTTCTTTTATAAATAAGTGATTCTAAACAAATTAATGTAATATCATTACTACCTTTGACGTAACGGACGGATATTAAATATCCTTGGTAGTAACCCTCGTAGTAACCTTAGAGCATGCTAGTACATGAGGAGCACGCTTATGGCGACAGTATAGTGACACAGAGAGAAAGGTATACCTAGTTTGGGTGCTATCTTTCTCTCTCGCGCTTTTTTATTCTCATGATTGACTGGCGTTTCTTTACGTACACGTCATTAAACATAAATTGTATGAATTAAGATTAAAAAATGAATTCAAATGACTAAATGTGTTAATGAATTACTGTTCCTTTAAGAAACAATAATTATTATTCATACATTTGTATAATGAAAATTTGTTTTGTAATTTTTTGCATCATAACACTTTAAAATTGTATAGAAAAGTTATTTGGAAATTAATAAAGAATCTTTGACAGAACGGACATAACCTCAATTATTTATTATTAATATATATTTTTGAGGTTTGAGATAGACGCACGAAAATCCACCAACTACTAATCTGGCAGGTTGACAGGTGACAGCACAGAGGACGGTAGCAGAAGTTGCAGGAAACGACATTAATCAAATACATATCTGCAATTTAATTGCATGATAAACGACGATATGTCTCTCTTTCATTCATCATACACAATTAATAACCACTGTCGGAACTAGCATCAAGCGCACAACACATGCAATAAGTGATTGCTTGTCTTTTTCCATTAGCTATTCCATGTTAATCGATTATTATTGATCTTTGTCTTAGTTACCTGTGCATGGTCACATCATGACGAGAACGTAAAGAATTGCCTGCACAACTGTATTTAAATACAATTAGAGAGACAGAGAGAGCGACTACCTAAACTATGCCCTTTCTCTTTACAGCGTCTACACTTTTTAACACGTGATGCTTTCTCTATGTAGAATTTGCTTTAAAGTAGCAACCGTCTAGCTTATAAAATTACTTGTAGTACATGTTAATATTTACGTTTCCATTTATACCGATTTATGTTGAAAAAAATATTACCTTATGACAATTAAAGTTATTTTTGAATGTCGTTTTAGAAAAAAGTAATTAGAAAAATTAATGTTTAATTTTCTATGACTAATCCACTTCCAGTGCACTTTTAATGAAATTGTTCATAATTCTATAGAATTTCTATATTAAAACATAAACATGTATATTCATGTTCGAGATTTTTATATTTAAGGAGCCACCAGATAGAAAAACCAAATACTTTCAAAGTGATCCATCCAAAGATTACCTAAAAAAAGAATTACAAGTACTATTGAGAAACATACTCGAGTAGAATTCTCTCTGATACAATATCAACAGTCAACACTCAACTTATGGAAAAATATCCTTACCAAAGTCGATATAAATAAAGTTCCTCATTAGATTTCAACAGTACCACCAAGTTTTTTCAGTGTGCACTGATTTGTTCGATCTGTGCACCATGATTCTCGCTGATTTAAAAATACTGCTGATCTCAGCCCTTTTCTTCGGACCTTTGGTACGTACCTGAATCATACGTTGTCAAAAAAAAATATTATCGCTGTTTCAGTACGCTGATGAAGAGATAACCATAGAGATTTCAGATGGAAAAATAAAGGGGAAAGCTCTTACCACTATCAATAATACCCCGTTTTACTCGTTTCAAGGTATCCCTTATGCCCAACCCCCCATAGACGCTCTAAGATTCCAGGTAAGCACTCGGTCTTTGATTTGTAAGTGCGTTCTAAATTCGGCAGTAAAGAATCGTGCTGCTCTTAGAATGAAGATGTCAACTGAGTGGCGTGTACGATTTCTAATTTCTCGGCCTACTTTTTTTCTCGTGACTCAAGAATTCTCGACTAGGAATGCCCGGGAATTCTCGAAATATCGAAAAATTTCTAAAACTTAAAAAAGCCATAATTTTGCTATTGCAATGTGAAATATAAACATGCTATTATACTTAACAATCATCATTAACATTTATTATTTCTTCAGTATTTTTATTAATTAATTATATGTGTTTACTTCTACTAACAAAACTAAATTAAACTTTGAGTATCTTCTTGAAAACTTAACTTGTTTTTTATTAAAAACTTTCAATATACTTATGTTTATTTCCATGTTTTTGAATCGTAGGCTTTCTTCCAATAATTATTAATAATCATTAATCATGCAGTCTTTTAATTAAACAAACAGTAACATAGATAAGGAATTTAACCGAAGAAATCTTTAAAAAAAACAAGCTTTAATTTAATGATACAGAAGCGTTCTTTACTTTTGCTATCAATCTACACATTTTGGTGTTCTACAGGGTGTTTTTTAAAAACTTACAATTCTTACAAAATTGATGTATGGTGATAATATCCGTTCATAATTTTTTCCTCTTTCGGACAATAATGACAAATATTTTTTATTTGATAGGTGATACTATTTGAAAGTTTTTAGGACTCTTGTAGAATTTTGATTAAATGAGCGACTATGGTACAAAAAAATCACATCATATTATCTTGTCACCCATATTGCAACACTTAACTCGCTAGTAGGCACTGATTTTGTAGGTTAACTGTAATTTCAGTTTGATCTTTAAGTAATTGTACCTGCCAATTCTTAATGTGTATTTACTACGATAAGATATACCACATGTTATTTTATTTTTCGATGTAGATACACGACGAATTAGAGTTATTTACAACATGCCTAATTTTATTGAGATAATTTGTAAAAACAATCAAATACAATAAAAAATGCTGGAGATAAAAGTAACAAAGTTGATATTAAATTTAGTACCTACATCTTACTATAAAAACATTTATAGCAACTTGGAAATTCCTCCGCAACTCTTCTCAGTGTTAGATGTGGAAGCATACACTGTTGTTTTCAGATTGCCCCAAAGATAATTTTCGCATGGTGTTGAGTCTGGTGAACGTACAGGTCAATCAATGGAATCATTGGTTCAGATACTACCGGACATTTACAGTGAAATGTGATGGAGCTCCATCATGCATAAGCCACATGTTAGCTCTGCGTAATAACGGTACACCTTCCAACAACTCGGGTAAAGTGTTTTGCAAAAATTTTAAATAAAATTCCTCATTGGGTAGAATAATAGAGCCAATAATGCTATCAATGCGTTGTATTTGATTGTTTTTCTAATTATTTGAATAAAATATAACTAATTCGTCGTATGTGTGTATCCATAAAAGGTGGTATATCTTATCGTCGTAAACACTCATTAAGGCACAATGACTTAAAGATCAGACTGAAATTACAGTCAATCTACAAAATCAGTACCTACTAGCACTTTGTTAAGTATTATAATATGGGTGGCAGGATAGTGTAGACATTAAAAAAAAATAGTTGTCATTATTGCCCAAAAGAGGAAAAAGTTATGAACGGATATTATTATCATACATCAATCTTGTTGTAGGTTTTAAAAAACACTATGTATAACACCAAAATGTGTAGATTGAAAGCAAAACTTCCCCGACAACTACTCTTATTCTTGTTTCTATCAATTCAAAAGCTGTCTAAAGCAATAAAAATCAATATTTCGGATGAATAAATATTTAGATAGAGTTAAGAAAGCAATTTGAACATTGCTTATCTCTTATAAATATCTTGCCGATAAAGAAATTGCCTTGTCATTTCTGGTAGGTACCTACTTAGATTCAGGTAGGTATCTTACTATTAGATAAAACATTTGAGATATATCTGCTTCGTTATTTATTAATTTTCATCTTCGTCGAATAATTGAATAATAAAACAAGAAGAAAACTAATGTAATTATTTATCTTGAAATAATCTTAAATGTTATTAATGAGTAATAGGTACTAGATAAAAATAATCAAACACAAACAGCAAACAGATATTTTCCTTGTTTTATACGTTCGGATTACAATTTGGATCCCTATCTGTTTTTTTATCCGTTCTTGGTTCTGAGATCCATAGATCTATTTTAGATATTCATCACATGTCCATTATCTGAAACAATAATACGACTCTTATTAGAATATCCATACAATATTTTGTTTTGATATACAGGGTATAATTTTGAATGGGGACATAGACCTTACAAACCACTGGACTCACCCAACCTGCATTTTACCAAATAAATGGCAATCGCACATACGTGTACGAGAGAGATAAAGCTAGTGCGGACTAATACTTCATTCACAGAACTTTGACTATAGCGCGATACACTTAATTCAACCAATCAGCTAGCTATACTCAATTCCTTACTAACTTTTTTCTATTGGACCGTATTCCCGTTTGACATTAAAATGATTTTAACTTCATTTATGTGCGGCGATTACACTTTGTGAAAGTACGGTTAAGTTAAAAATTTTGAAAAAATTATTGATTAGGTTTATGTTATATTTTTAATTATATTCAGATGAATCGCAGAAGGGACAGACGATGAATTTCTCATCTACAATGACTTTATAAAAGTAATATAGAGACTAGAAGACAAAAATTTCAATTCCATTAAAAATGTGTAGACATTCATATTTTCTATATTCTTTATATTAATTCAAACTGAATTCAATTCGATTTCTCTTTTAACAATACAACAATTTTGTACGAATAAATTTAATTACACAACCTCACAAAAAAAAACAGTATCGGATCTGGTATTCAGATCCTTGTATTTCCATGTATTTTTTTCCGCTGAATCCTAATCTGTCTTCAGATTTGGCCCAACGGGTCTGAGTTTTCGGGAAAATTAAAAAAACAGGTCAAAATTCACAAAAAACGTCATTTACGATCGACGAAAGTTATAAAAAAATCAAATTATTCTACCAGCTCACTAGACGTATGATTTTTCACTCGTTTAATTCCAATTTATCATCATAGAGTCAGACAAGCTGGTCCAATTTCATTCAAAAACAGAAAATAGATCAAAATGCTTAAAAACGCCATTTTCATGGCATAATTCGTTTTGCAGAGTTCTGGATCCATCTTTTTATCCACCCACCCATTTATGAATTCATACATCTTTCTATCCAGTCGTTCATGAATGAATACGCATATTTATTCATCCACCTGTACCTTATTCTTATAAAACCTACTCATCCACCCATCTATCTATCTACTTTTTCTACTGAGAGATGAGATAACAGCCTAGAAGATTGAAAATGCAATAAAACTTGTAGAATACTCTACTTTCTAAACAAAAGAAAACGATATCTACAAATCATTCTTATTTTTGTTGCTATAACGTGTTCTCTTTTCTTCAAAGGATCTATGCAAAGGGCTCGCTTTCGTTTAGTCGCTCTATTTTTCGTTTCTCTTTTTAACAACCAAAGGTGGAGGGTTTTTTGAACAGTTTTTAAAATAGCTTATTGTTTGTTATCAAAATTAAGTTTCCATCTTATTGATACCTTCGAATAGTGACGGTTGCAGCTAAATTGCGGAATACAGTGAGGAATGTCCTCCTTGATGTCAGCCTTCTGTTTGGAAACCTTCTGCCGTACTCGCGTTCTGCCGCGCAGCATTACCATCGCAAAAGCCATAAACAAATCATCATATCATAATTGTTCTACATCAATAATGTGTACTACTGATTACGTATTAAATTATTATTATTATTTTTTGTTTAAATTACTATGAAATTGACCAAAGTGGGATTAATTCAAGAGCGATTTTCTCAGAAACCGTTAAAGATAACGATTTGAAACAAGAGTACCTTTTTAACGTAAAACAGTTCGGGAAAACGGAATTTGCTGTCCAATTTGTTAAAATGTCAAAGATGAAAAAGTTACACACGCAAAGTACCAAGAGCCCCCCGTACCCACCCCAATGGACCTTGTGGAAATAAATGGATTAGTCCATCAAATTGCTCATCAAAATTTATCTGTGTATACCAAATTTCATTCATTTATCACAACGCGATTGAGAGATATTGCAAAAAAAATAATTCCATTCCTCCCTCTTCAATGGGTCCCTGTGCCCTTAGGAAGCATTTCCGGACCCATGTTCATATGAACTTTTTTACTTAGTTTTGATCATAGAATCGGCCTGTTCAGGGTTGGCAGCCAATTATGAGACGCCCTGTATAAAGGGCGAAAATTTCCGAATATTTCTGAGGCGAAATTGAAAGAAGGTGTATTCGATGGACCTCAGATTCGGACATTGTTCAAGGATGCAACATTCATCACTACAATGAGTAGCGTTGACAAGAGTGCTTGGACTAGTTTTAAAGTTGTAGCGACAAATTTTTTAGGAAACAACAAGAGTCCTAAATAGGAAGAAATTGTAACAAAAATGATAAAAGACTTCCAAGACCTGGGATGTTTGATGGACTACAAGTTGCGCTGCCTTCATTCACATCTGGATTGGTTTCCTGAAAATCTTAGAGATTATACCGAAGAACAAGGCGAACGATCTCATCAGGATATGAAGGTTATATAACAGCGATATCAAGGAAAATGGGATCACAACATGATGGCTGATTCTTGTTGGTTGATAAAAAGAGAAACGAAAAATAGAAGGACTAAACGAACTCATTGGACGTTTTTTGTGAATTTTGACCCGTTTGTTTGAATTTTCCCGAAAATTCAGACCCGTTGGGCCAAATCTGAAAGCAGATTCGGATTCAGCGGAAAAAGATACATGGAAATGCATGGGTCTGAATACCAGATCCGATACTTTTTTCTATTTGAGGGGCTGTGTTTTATTAATGAATAAGAACATAAGCACAATTTATATGGAATTTCTGTACAAATTGGGGTAAATATAATAAGAAATTTGGAATGAAAAATATTTTATTGCACATATTTAAAAAATATTCAGTTACAATTTTCTTCTTTTTTTCTGGAGTGAGCACCGGGCTATCTGGGGTGGCTACGCCCATGTAAAAATCTCCAGTCAGACTACGCAAATAACTGCAAGAAACTCAACTCTTGATTGCGAACTGAAAATCTCCAGTCATGTTCAAAAAAACATTGACAGCTTCCTCTTTTCTTCAACGCCTTGTTTTTGAACGCCTGTCAAGGCATTCATTGAAAGGCATGGCTCCTTTGTACTTTATTAGTTGTTAAATGTTAAAAATTGACTGAAAAATTGTTTTTTTAAAAAATGTTGACTATAGTTACAATTGTTTTTAATCTAGTGAAGTTCATAAAATTTTAACAACAATGTTCTTCTCGTCAATGGATCGGTAGAAGGGATAATGCTCCTGTTAACTGGCCTGTACGTTCACCAGACTTAACACCTGACGACTATTATCTTTGGGGCACTCTGAAAACAACAGTGTATGCTTCCACATCTAACACTGAAGAAGAGTTGTGGAAGCATATCCAAATTGCCTTCAAGAACTGCAAAGGACACTCTTTGCTTTAACTTCCTTCGCCGAATTAACCCTTGTTGTAGAAACAACTGTGGTCATTTTGAACAGTTTTTATAATAAATGGTACTAAAATTAATAACATCAACATTGTTACCTTTATCTCCAGCATTTTAAATTATATTTCATTGTTTTTACAAATTATCTCAATAAAATTAGACATGTTTTAAATAACTCTAATTCGTAGTATGTGTAGGTATGTATTGAAAAAGTTATGAACGGATATTATCACCACACATCAATTTTGTAGGAGTTGTAGGTTTTAAAAAACACTGTATAACACCAAAATGTGTAGATCGAAAACAAAAGTTCACACCCCAAAAATTATCAAAATCGATTAATAGGTATTTGAATTGTTTATACGACTCAAAAATTTTTCACTAACTTTAAGGCCATCTAGCGCCCAAGCGGAGCGATTTGGGATATAGGTGAATTATCCTAAATCTGCCTATTTTGAGTCCACGAATCTGTGGTCTTCCGTTGTATACGTTATTCTGGGACACACTGTATATTATTGGAAACACGTTTTAGACTTGAAATTAAAATTTTTTTCAGGCTCCCGTTCCCCTCGAACCTTGGGACGACGTTGTGGATGCAACCTACGAAAAAAATATTTGTTACCAAGTTCCAAATGATTCTGATGATGAAAGTGAGGATTGTCTCTTCATCAACGTATTCACCCCTACGGTAAGCCAAGATAATCGAAAAATTCATTTTCAACACTTAACTTCAAGAGGCAAATTCTGCCCGGAGATAGACAATTATGTATATATAAATGTCTTTTGATATATCGTTTAGAAATTTTAAGATTTAACGAAATCGTCGTAGCATTTCTTTGCCATTTTAAAAATATTGAACAATTTAAAACTTTTATACTAGCTTTTATTGTCAACTAGCTGACCCAACAGACGTCCTGTCCAAATTTTAACAAATTTGTTTGTGATAAGCATTTTCAGTTTTTCCCGAATATTCCAACTTTTCTATTTTTTTTTTCTTCACTAAAAACCTTATCCGGACTATTACGAACATTTAAAAAAATTAGTCAAATCGGTCCAGAAGTTCTCAAGTGATGCGTTTTCCAACGAATAGCATTTAATTTTTTCAGGAACCTTCTTCTGGAGCTGGTCTACCAGTTATGTTCTTCATCTATGGAGGAGGATTCGTTGAAGGATCTTCGGCAGAAATTAACTACGGACCACATCATTTCATGGATTATGGAGTTATTCTTGTAACCTTCAATTACAGAGTCGGACCTTTCGGTAAGTGACTATTCCAGTAAAGTAGGGAATAAACAGAATTTTATCTGCGGAAATGTATTGTACAGAAAAATCTTGCTTATGAAAATGTAGGACTTTAGAATATGCTATTGAACGTATATGCAATAGAGTGATAGTAATGCTTGGGGTCATAATTCGTACTAGCCAGGAACTTGATCCTAGTTCTGATCCTGTTACTTATCCATGGAAAATCTTTAGATTCGAAACATTGGCGAATATTTGCAGGGTTCATTAAATTTAGAATTGGGAATGAAGTAATTCCTGTAATATAGAGCTGGTTAGGAGCTGCAACAGAAAATTGTTTGTAAACAACATCCACAAGCTTACGAAAAGACAGATCAAATATATTGCAAATCAGACCTGACTGATATTCTGAAAATAAGACAACCTATTTTTATAATGTTTTTAGACATTCATATTTTTTCTTGAAGGTTTCTTCTCCACTGGTGATGATGCGATTCCTGGAAATGCGGGCTTGAAGGACCAAAATCTGGCTCTGCACTGGGTCCAAAAAAACATCGAATACTTCGGTGGCGACCCAACCAAAGTAACTATTTTCGGTGAAAGTGCTGGATCAGCCTCAGTTGGCTATCAGATCTTGAGCCCTCTCTCGAAAGGTGAACTATTAAAAGTAAAGTATTGATAAATCTTATATATCTTGTTTTTTTTCTAGGTTTGTTCAGAGCAGCAATAGGCGAAAGTGGTTCTCCTCTAAGCGCTTGGGCCTACCAGAGAAACCAAATCCAAATCACTTATCAAACTGCTGGCTATATCAATCCAGACATTGCAAACGCTTCTTCCAGCGAGCTTCTCGATTACCTTTTGAATCTTCCAGCGAAGGATATTGACGCTGCGTCACACACCCAGGCTAGTAACGTAAGGAAAATTTTTGTGCTTGTAACGTATTTGTTGAAAATTTGTAATGAGTTTTTTTTAGGAAAATGCTCAATATCAGCAAATTCAGCAAGGATTCTACTACGCTCCAGTTATAGAGCATGATCACGAAGGTGCTTTCATTACCGAGAGAATGCTTGAGATTCTCAGAAAAGGAGATTTTAATAAAGTACCACTTCTAATCGGCTTTAACAGTGAAGAGTCCTACTTTTACCATGACAGTAAGTGTGCCTCTATATTAAACAGTTCTTGATAATGGTTGATACTCTTCAAATATGGCATTTATGTATAAAATTTTCTGAAGATCCATCTAGATTGAATCCACTAATTGAGAGCTTGAATTTAAATACAATATTGTAAATAAAAATAAAATTGCTAAAATAACTAAGTTTTATTAAAAAATGTAATGTCGTATATCTTAAAAGTTTTTTCTAGTGACTTGTCGACCTTATTAGTACAACATTTCTCTCATTACATTGGGTACGTTAAATTAAACAAAACTTGTTCATACAATTTATTTCGAGTTTAGGTACTTTTTCTCGAAAATTCATTAACCAATTTTGTTATTGAAATTCGCAGGTGCAGAGAACCTCGCTTACCTTGCTACCGAATTCGACAAAAATAATTCTCTCTTGGTCCCACACGACATGCACATCACTCAAGAAAGCACTAGGGAGTTCGCTGCCAGGGATATAAACCAGTTCTATGTTGGCGACGGTACTTTTGCGGAAGACAATTTGAAACTTATCAGCGTAAGTGATTTCTTGTTAAAAGATTATTATATTTCTTAGCTTTAACAATGTTTCAGTATTTTAGTGATCAATCTTTCATTCGATCCATCATCAAACACGCTACGATTCAGTCGTCTTTCTCGACTGTCTACTTCTACAAGTTTTCCTACAGTGGAGTCATCGCGGGATACGTACAAGAACCAGGTAATATCTATATGTTCAGAAACACCCGAAAACTTATTAAAATAAAAATAACCGTAAGAGTCGTCTGGTTTTTAATTTTTGTAATTGAAATTATTTCAATTCTTGTGGATATCTATCGTGTCCGTGTATTGTTTGTTACCAGAAGTATGATATCAGTTATGGCGGTGACGTGTTCTACACTCCTCAACTGCAGACTTCGAAGCTACTACTCTTCAAGTGACACTTGTGCTGCTTTAACCTCTCACTGACGTTTTCCAATGTTTACTTGTCCACATGTACACGGGATGCTGTATATACCTTTGACCTTGGAGTAGATCCAAGATTGGATAGAGAAGTGATGAAGATAAAGCATACCTTGTCAGTACAGTATATAGGGCACATAAACCGTTGCTAGATATTCCTCGTTTTTCTTGTTGTTAAATGTACTGATGACTCGTTCAATAGTCTTGTTTATGTGTCAATTTCTTCAACGAGCAAATTGTAAGTGTCGTAGTTCTTGGTAAGTGTTCGGCTCGTAGATGGCACGTGCTCGATATACTAATGTGTTGACAAAACCTTGTTTCTGGGCTGAGTAATGATACGACTCAGCGTTCAGATATTTATCCGTGTGCGTTTTCTTTTGACGGATACATCTGAGAACGGCAGGGTACCATTTTCTTCCATGTCCATGGTGAAGCTATGTGGTGCAGTGGAAATATTTTTATGTTGGGACCAGATAAATATATCGTCAACATATCTGAACAAACGCTTTGGATTTGAAGATGCTGTTTTCCCTAAAGCTTCCATCTCGCTAGAGTTTTGGACAAAAGTGAACTAATAGCTGCTCCTTTAGTTTATTGGGAAAACTGTATCCTATTGTATATATCATCCGGTGTACGCCTTTGTCTTCTGCGCAGAAGCTACGATTTAATTTTTCCAAAAATTTTTGAAACTATTGTGAACAATGACGTCACGTCAAAACTCACTATGACCTTAAAGGTTTTTTCCTAAAATCTTCAAAGTTTTTAACCCATTATTTGTCTTTTGGCTGCTGGATCATTGGAAGAGCGTGAAATTCTTGAATCACTGGAAATAAGATCCTTATGTTGTTCCTTGGAAATGTTACCTAGTTCTCTAGTAGGTTCTCCATTTTGGATATATACTCTGTCGTGTCCAAGACGACAGACGCATTTTCTTTGTCGGTTGGGAGTATGTAATTTCTTCATTATCCTTCAGTTCATTGATTTGGACTTCTTTTCTAGACATCACCGTCAATCAATCAATAACATAACGATTTCTATTTAACTCACTACTATCTATCGATTGTCTAGTACTTATGTAATTTTTGAATATCCAACAATTTTCCCAGGTAACACTTAAAAATCATTCTTAAGTCACAGCTATGCATGTAACTCACACTGTGATACAGATATGGAAAAATAATTAAATACAGCAAATACTTTGCTTCAGTTGAAGGTTTCTCGGACACTGTAAGACACGGAGAAGAGCTATCCTACATTTTCAGACGCAACTATGTAGGACTGAATACAACAGACATCACCAAATTCCCTGAACAGGACCAAACAGTCTTCAAGAGGTTTATCACCTTCTTCACTAACTTCGCCAAAACATTGTAAGTAATTTCATGAATTGATTAATCAACTTCGATGATAAATTTCTAAATGATTTCCTCGTTGTATAGGGATCCAACTCCCGAAGAAGATACACTACTAGAAAATATCATTTGGCCGAAAGTTAACGTTACCGATTTCGCGTACTTGGACATAGGATCCTATTCTGAAGTTAAATTCCACCCCAGGGAACCAAACTACCATGAATGGGAGGCCATTTACTACAAATATGGCGTTCCCCCTTACGATACCTACTAGATTATTTTTGAAGATGTTTTCAGTGAATAAATTATATTAAAAAAAGCATACATAATATTTCATAAAACACCAAAGTAGTTTATACTTAACATTGAAATACGTGTGTACTTACCAATTGTCCACAGGCCAACCGCTTGCTTGAAGTTGCTAGTGGTGTACATTCGGGCAAAATTTTCGTTTTCATTAATGAGTTATATATCGTCTCCTAAGCAGTCTAATATAGGTGTACCAAATAACACTCACTTGTCGAATAGTCCAAAGAGCGTGCCGTTTGTAAAGTTTTGACGAATATTTGACGGGATAAAATAATCTTTCAAATGTATCGATATACAGCATCCACACGATACGGCATTTGTCTACAAAGAAATGATTTGAAACACAGTAATTGATTTTATCCATGGAACGCAATAATACATCATGTCAGTTAAACAGCACATAACTAAGCGATCTTTTCCTACATTTAATATGTACGTGGTGTACCCAGAAAAATAATTTGTAACGTACTTTTATCTCTTAAAAATTAAGTAGAACTTGTCAAACAAAATGAGTATTTTCCGTTTTATGAATGAAAAAACATGTTTTTCTACCACATGTTTTCGCAGTCGCTGAATCCGACTCCGTGATGCATTTAACCCTATCACATCAGAATTTACCAATAATCTCATATAACCTCATAACCCAAGCTGTCAAGCCTAATTACACACAACGATTCTGTAAAGGGAGCCGTGCACCCACAATAGTAGTTTGACTTGATCTGTCATCGCGGGATATATCAGGGCTCTATAAACAAATAGTATATTAAACAACAAGGTTTGAAAACGATACTTTGCACACGAGCGAGACATATTGGTAGACCGAGCCGAAGGCGAGGTCCACAAGTCGAGTGAGTTGCAAAGAGGCTTTCAAACGAGTTTTTTACGATACTTTTTATACGACTGCACACAGAGACCGCAAAAATCAAATTTTAATTTAAATCGTTTTTATTAAGAAAATTGCTAACGCATTAACAAAAGAAACTAATATTTAATATTTATGGTAACATTTGAACATTCCTTCAAGGTTACGCTGGGAAAAGCAGTATTATTGTGCACCTTGTTTTCGGTAATAGAGAATATTTTTGGTGTCATGTTTTTAGTGCAGTTTTTCAGCGTGCGGTCGTTGTTTTCTTGTTGTATTCCAGTAGACGATCGTTGTTCTGGTTCTGTGGCAGCAGAAGACACTGAAGATTCTATCTTTTTCGAAACTTCCATTTTATTTCTCAAACAGTCATCAACGTAGCCTTCGACAACTGTACTGGATTTCCACCCTCCATGGCGTTTGAGGACAAGCAGATTTGACAAGAAGGTAAGGTAGTCGGATTTTTGTAATTTTTGATATTTATAGTACGTGTAGTTTGGACCTTGAATAAGAATTTTCCGAAGTAGTTCGACGCAACGTTAATAAATTACCGAGATAATCGATTTTGAAGTTTTACCTGACAGTTAAATCCACTAGATGTGACGGATTCTTCAACTGGGAGCGTGGACTAATTTGTAACGTTCGGGACTGACAGTCACGAGATCGCTGATTCAAGTCCGTAGCGTGACATATATTTTTTTTTTTTCAAAACGCACCATATGGTTTTTTATTATTTTTTTCATCTCGAACATTATGAACAAACGAAATATTATAATAAATACTTATGTATGTGTAGAAATATTCTTCAAATATTTCATTAAAATGCACAATTGGTTGATAAACAATATTTATTATAAATTAACAATAAAGTTTCTTTAAAAAAAAACAAACGAGGTCAGGTAGGTTTTTTATTTTATTTTTAGTATTTGACATTTTACGCAGTGTAGTATAAGCCAGAATGATAATTATCATAGAAACATGGGCAGCAGACATTTTTTAAGCATCTAGCATGTCGCGTAAATGTTATGTTTTTACAGGCGCATTTTGTTTTCAAAATATCAACGTTGAAGCAAATTTCGTTAATATTTTGAAAGATTGTTCTTTCATCACATAGTTTCGATGCTTCTCTACCCTTTGTGGAATTTAACGAAACTTTTTATTCCCGAGCACTGTGTTCTGTAAGCAGTTTTTTTTAAACATGGTGGACGACCCACAGAATCTAGCTCAAAATGTTAATTAAACAATTGAACAATATTCCTACTCCTACATACAGTTCTCATAATATTTCGTTTGTTCATAATTTTCAAGATCAAAAAAGAAAAAGAAAGGAAGCTAAATGCTTAAAAAATTTCTGCTTCCCATTTTTTTATGATAGCTACCATTTTGGCTCGTACCACACTGCGTAAAATCTCAAATACTAACATAAATATAAAATAAAAAACCTACCTGACCTCGTTTGTTTTTTTTAAAGAAACTTTATTGTTAATTCATAATAAATATTGTTTATCAACCAATTGTGCATTTTAATGAAATATTTGAAGAATATTTCTACATATGCATAAGTATTTATTATAATATTTCGTTTGTTCATAATGTTCGAGATGAAAAAAATAATAAAAAACCATATGGTGCGTTTTGAAAAAAATATATATGTCACGCGACGGACTCGAACCAGCGATCTTGTGACTGTCAGTCACGAACGTTACAAATTAGGCCACGCTCCTAGTTGAAGAATCCGTCACATCTAGTGGATTTAACTGTCAGATCTCGGTAATTTATGAACGTTGCGTCGAACTACTTCGAAAAATTCTTATTCAAGGTCCAAACTACACGTACCTTAAATATCAAAAATTACAAAAATCCGACTACTTACCTTCTCCTTGTGAGCCAGAATTGACTAAAATTGTGGCCGATGAACGCCGAAAACAATGTCCCGTGTAACTTTCTGGATTCTCTAGCATCAAAAACTTGGCGATTTCCCTAGCCATGTTTCCAATTTTGTTGATGCCAACGTTTTGCTTGAACATTTTCCGTTTTGATAGTTTAAAAAAAACCTGCCTGTCTTCAGATTAGGAGGACAAAGAGCACAGTACTTTTTTAAGATAGTGTAAAGGTTTCCTGTAATTGTAAAACACCTTGGTACCTTTGTTTTTGTATTCTTCAGTTTAATCAGCATAGCACTGTCGAAATCTTTGGTGTCTTCTATTTTGAGATAGGTAACATAATTCCTCTTTTCGACATGCCCCAGATAGTCCAACTGCCACCACCGCCTTGATAATTTGTCGTCTGATGCTTTCGTCAAAAACCGGCAAAAATCATCTTCTGTGAGGATTAGGGACTTCTTTGGGACGTAGTTTTCGGATTTTCGTTTGATTAGCGCTTGCAACTTTTTATAGCTTCCAAGATCTATGTTGTGATTGGCACTTAACGTTGACTTGAGCATCGAAAAAATCGTCCACAACGTCGAAGATTTATATTTCTTAGATAGTTCTTCAAAATACACCATTACTGCGTTTTCTGAGAAAGTTTGGACATTTTTGGCTAGTCGCCAGTCCATAAATCGGCTTAACTCAGCTTCATACCTGCTTCTGGATTTTGTGGGCAGCAGTTCCGAACATATTTCGCTTGCTTTCTGTAAAATCTCTTCAGAATCACACATTTTCACACCAAACTTCGGGAATTCAACAATTTTTGAAGTATCTAATCAACAAAATAAAGGAGCCGTGACGGTTGCTATGAAACTCAGCAAAATTGAAACATTGCATAATTTGGATGACAACATCAAACAAAAATCACAATCTGGAGACGCGTGTGCAAAGATGAACCGTGTGCAAAATGTTTAGCACACGGCGTGTGCAAAATACCATTTTCAGAACGTGTTTTCCGTGCGCAAAACCCCCTTTTGCAAGGCAATCGTATAAAAATATATTTAAACATATAATCCCCCAACCGCCTAACCCCATAGTTCTATAACCCTATAACGCCATAACTCCAATAACCACGTTACACAGTAGTTCGATTGTTTGATGCAAGAAACGAGTTTATATCGTTATTATCTCCCAGTTTCATCATTCTCAGTAGTTTCTCCGTCAGTTTCAAAAATATGCCAAATGAAGTTTATTTCGCGGATGCTAATCCCAACTGTGTCTGCATCCAGAGCAGAGAGTATCATCATCACAAGCTTGTGGTTTACATTGCTGAACTGACTCTAAAATGCAGTCAGTGTAAATTATAAAAAGTAAAGGACCTAAAATTGAACCCGGAGAAGGACTCTGGTTTATTTTTTCAAAGTAAAAGATGACAATTTGATTAAAAGAAAAAGATATTCAAGTTGTTCACTTACCATAAAATCAAAGAAAACTTCTTGACGTATGTTTTACGTAGGCATCGACGCCTAATCTATCCTTATGAAAAAATATATATTCAGGAATCGCTGTAGTATGTAAATCAATATTATCATTCAGCCAGGTATCGGTAAGCATAACGACATCAAATTCACTTTGTGGAACTAAATTAACAAACTCGTTAATACCTGTAAAAAATTGCATGTTTAACATATAACAGTACAGATATAACATTAATGATTTAACAATAGTAATAATTAATAGGTACAATAAGAAAGAAAGTAATGTTATAAAACAATTATTTTTCGAAAAATAGTCGCCGCACAAACTAAGCTTTAATTACAATTTTTACTAACAAATAACAGGTCAGACACCGATCTAATGCATTTTCTCTCTTCCCCTGATTAGATGTAAACAATACCATTGAATGTTCGGTCGACATTTTGTCTTGCTTTCTCTTTCTCTCTTGTAAATAACATTTCCGAAATCAAAACACGGGATCCTTTTAACTGTTTCTTATTAAAAAATATCGTAATCGATCAAAAATTCTGTATTATCCCATATTTGAAAATGATCCAGTCTTTCCCTGAATATTTTCTTTGTTGACGAGGTCTTTATTCAACAAAAAGTCTTCTTCGTCATCCGTTAGAATATTTTCATAAACATCCACTATATCCTCCATTGTGCTCAAAATTTCTTATAAATATTTTTATAAATGTAATAAAAGCGAAACACGTACAGGTTTAGGTTATAATTTGTAGTTTAAACGGTAGTAGTCTTCCGTTTAAGTTTAATGTGGGTTTAAACTTGACTATATAGTTAATCTTAACCTATAAAACGAACGTTGATTCTTAAACGGAGGTTACTAACGGCAACTGCTTGAGCATGAATATACATAGATTCTGGATATGGTTTCTGATTCAGGTCTGCCTTCACCATCGATGCAAAGAAGCTAGGTCCTTGCTCGCTGGCAAGAGGATATCTGGCAGACTTGTGTATCTCATCCTTCACGAACCCCGAGAGAGTTGATTCGGAGTGCTAGCTCTGAGCTCTGGATTCACCCTCCATCTCTTGATGACGAGGTTATGCCAATGAAAATTGGGAAACGATCTAATGTCTGGGTCCAAAACGGCGATGCACTGCACTTAAAAGTTCGGGTGTCAACTAACCCTAAAGTTCAAAGAGTTTTGGAAAGGTTTCGAATGACCCTGTATGTCTTTTTTCACTGACTCTACTAGGAGTACATAATCTTACAAAAACACTGGGAGTACGAGGACTCATGAGTTTAATGGATTCGTAGTGATTGCTAAGCACTAGAATGTTTTCAGTGTTCGCCACGCAATTTATGTCTGTCTGAATATCCCTGAATGAGCCCTGCAAATATTAAGTTGGGTACTGCGTCTCTAGGGACAAGTATACAGAGCTACTAAGCCAATGAACATCCTGAGGGGGTATGGAGCCGTAGGGTCGCTACGCCTAAGCTGAAACTTGAGGAGCTTGGGAGGGTGAAAGCTCGTGACTGTAATTTTTTGGAGAGAATCTAACTCCTGACGATACTTTTACACAAAATCAAGCTGAGGTTCTACAGTTTATTAAATCCGAAAATACAAGAGAAACAATCTATATGTAAACAGGTGGTTTAAGATTATCAGTTACAGGGCGAGTATACCTAGACTCGAGCCAGGTAATCCACGCCTGCATAAAATACTGCAAATGGTACGGGTCGACGTTCATTTGTAAATGTCCTCAAGTCTGTCCTGGTTTGGTGGGAATAGAGGTACTCAAAGAGAAAAATCTTGTGTGCCGACATTGTAAAAAACGTTCTTTCTTTCTAAAATGGCTCGATTAGTTATATACAGGATGTTGGTCATTCCCAATCCGAATTTCGGAATTTTCGTACAAATTTTGGACTTTCCGAAATTGGGATCGTTTAGCGGAGAAACCTATAATTCGGGCATCTCTATGACTTTCCAGAATGTAACTGATTTTTGCCCTCCTAGGGCGGTTTGGGACACGGCAACGGATAATTCGAAAGTGAGGTGATAACGTAACATCCCGCGTCGTTATGGCTGAGTCGATCGGCTCCAACTTCTAGGGCGGTATCCACCGCGGTGTACCATAATATGGTTTAAGGCTGCGAGCAGAATCGGTAGCGGCGCTGTAAAAATTGGAAAGTATAGTGAAATTTCTATTTTTCCTCCCCACTTCGTTATTCATGGTCCGATTGACTTCATCTTTTGGAACGACATCCATTGCGGCCTGCCAAGCTGTGGTTGGGAGGTCCGGACGACATCGGTCACTATGGCGGGATTCTGGACCGTGTTGGAAAGGCAGGCCGTCAGTGGCAGGGCAGGGGTTAAACCGCCATCATACGTAAACCATGTATAGGAAATTATATTTTATGCAAAAAAGTTCAGATAAACATGTATCCAAAAATTCTTTCTAACGCTACAGCGTTTAGTAGACTTTGACAACAATTGAGGGTTTGTTTGTGTCGAGGTTTGGCAGTCTTTGGCATGTCAATTGATTAACTCAAATTTTAGTGCATTTTAAGTGCGTTTATGCGTAGACTGCGGAATCATGTCAAATATTTACAATACAGCTGAATATGCGAAAACTGTGTTTGTTTACGGGTACTTTAACGGCAACGTGCGCGTTGCAGTAGCTGAGTACGCCCACAGATTTCCTGTAAGAAGGTTGCCGACAGATTAGTATTGTTCTATGTCGAAACCACGCGAGCTACCCGCTCGTACAGCTCCAACTCAGGTTCTCTTTTATATAAACGCAACGTACTTTTCTTTTAAAATATATTTTCTACAAAACAAAACAACAAGATTACATTTGACGTTATTATCAATAATAACAACTGTTTTTATTTTAACAAAACAAAACTCTTATGTCAAGACAAAAGATAGGATGCAGATTATCGATGTCTCTAACATCCTCCCACCTAAGAAATTTCTGTATAAAAGCTAACAAGTTTCTTACGAGACAAAAGAGACATCAGCTCTACTTTACTGATTGGAAATACTTAACTATGTCTTAAATCTACTAGGTCTTTTGACTAAACGTCCACTTCGCGTAACGGACACTTTGTCTACGGATACTCTGCTTTTATACTGCACTCCCGCACAATCACTTTCGTACTCGCCATCTTCATCTGAACAGTTATCATCAACACTAGCAGTCGCCTCTTCGGGAAAGTTTCTTTGAAGTTTGGTGACATCACTGCATTCAAGGGGATAGATGTTTTGTAGAGGCCGAAGAAGTTCTCCACCAACCGTATTCACACGAACTAAACGAACAGTCCCATCAATGCATATGCAGGCAATCACATTACTTTTCCTCTCTCTGTTTACTTCTAGTTCGTCACATTCTAGATTTTCTTGTACCCACAGAGATTGCGGTTGAAGAAGCCATCCCTCCCACCATCTAAATTCAAACAGATCTTTAGCAAAACAGCCTCGGGATGGTAAGTCTGCTGGGTTCAAATCTCCAGGCACATATCTCCATGACTCGATAGAAGTTAACGAACGGATCTCTACAATTCGATTCCCTACAAATGGTGCCCATGGTTCTTGTCTTCGTATCCACGAAATAACAGTAGAAGAGTCGCTCCAGCAAAAATATTCAATTTCTTTTTCAAGGCTTTCCAATACAGACTTGGTTAACCTGGCCCCTATCGTTACAGCCAGCAGTTCTAACCGCGGTATCGTTACCTTCATCAAGGGAGCAACTCTGGCTCTGGCGGCTAGCAACTGAACAGTTACTGTATGGCTTACGCATTTTTACTGGCATCGCAGAAGGTGTGCAGGCTCAAATTTACTGCTTCGCCTGGTCCTGCACAAATCCAATGGGGTATTTCAATTTTCAGCAAATACGGAAGTCCATCAAGCCAATTCTTAAAGGCACATTCTAATTCCTGATACTGGAGTATCCCAACCTATTTTTAGACACCTAAAAAAGGCTCTTTTATCAAACAAAAGTTCACGTTTACGTTCCAAGCTGAACCTTTGTGCTTTAAAACAAGTCTCGCTTACATGTGATCCTTCACAAAACACACACTTGGCAACATCGCAGCTTATTAGGGTACTCGCCGTCGGTACAATCGTCTCATGAGGTTTTGCCTTTCTCTTGACTTCTTTGCCTGCGTATGAATCTTCGGAACATAATTCAAATCCTTCCTTAGCCAAAGAAATGCGTTGTTCGTTTTCCACTTCCCACTTAAGAAAATTCATTAAATCTCTCAACTGACCTTCTAATGAATCCTTGGTAGGGAGTGATTCGCGAGACCCAGGCTCCCTTGCTTCCACATCTGTTGATGTTCTTCTTCCTACACGTTGCCAAACTCTAAGCAGGTCCTCTGGTAGGCACGACTCTATTAAAGGAAAGAGCATGGCAGAACACTTTTCGGAGGTTACTCCGAGGGTTTCAAGCGCCCTCATCTGGGATTCTAACCTGTCGTACAATGTAACAAGATCTACTTTATTTTCCGACATGGCATTGTGTAAAATGAGCTTTAGCAGTTCACGAACATATACTTCTATTTGTAGATCTTCTCTACCAAATCGCGCCTCTAACCCTTGAACTATTTTCTCATAATTTTTTCCTATTGCAGGGAAGCTTTCTACTAGTTGCCTGGCCCTACTGCCTGGCAATCTTAGCAATCTTAGATGGCATAGGTACCTCTAGTTAATAGAGCAAATAGATGATTCCAGTTAGAAGAATGCCCTACTCATTACACTCATTACAGTCCGACGATGACTGCACCACAATTTTCCGGAAAGATGATTTGGTCGCGGTCATGACTGCCCCCGTCCTTGGTCTGCGCGCTCTCCGGATTTGAGCCTCTTAGATTTTTTTCTATGGGGTACAATGAAGAGCAAGGTTTATGAGTCCGTTAACGACGAAGCTACTCTCCGGGAAAGGATTGTTCAGGCAGCCCAGTAAATGCTGAGCAGAGTGTCGTGTAACTGCAAACTCTATGTCGTATGTAGATGCGAATTTAGCACTGAAAATGATGGCGGTCATTTTGAGCAGTTTTTATAAATTTAAATAATTTAATTAGCTGCTGCTTGACGACGCATTTTCTTCTCTTTCTTTTTATATTTTTTTGCTAATAAAGTTGTTGTTGCAGTTTTTTTGA